CTTTCAAAACCACAGCTGAGGATTTTAAATATTAGCCCGATTTGGAGAACGTGCCACTCTAAGCAAAGGCTAGGCTTGTGACAAGTTGGAAGGGAAGCTGTCCTTCAACAATGGCAAATGACACAGCTATCATCTCTGCAAGTCCAGAATGATGAATAGATTTTACCTCATCCCTCCCCTCTCCTGACAGAAGTTGGAGAACAGTTTCATTATTACTACTTTCTGGAAGAAGAAACAAAATTATTTGCCAGTGTGCTTACAATGATGAATTGCTAAAATGGAAGAAGTATCTTTATAATCCTTTTAGATGTCTCTTAACATAATCTCTTCATTTTCCTTCCAAAGACCGTTTGTTTATTAAGATCCGCCCAGTGAAGACTCGCAACGCATATTGCAAACATCAGTTTAAAATGATTCTTCAGGTGTGATGCCAGAAACTTTAATAGCCCTCTTCGCAAAGCTTCTGTATTCTCTGGCATGTCCTTCCAAGTTCCCTCCTGTCACCCCTGCCCTGCCCTAGGGCATTGTGAATAACAAAGATTTCTGGCTGGACAATGTTGGGTCAAGTTCAGAGAGTGTTCTTGTATTTCTTTCATCATCTAATGAGGATGGGGGGCTGCTGTGGTCAGGAGAAGCACGTCTTAGGGAGGAAGGGCAAACTGAGATCTTTGGATTCAAAGACTGTGGCTCCATCACTTTCTCTTACATAAAGATTGTATTTGTCGCACACTTCCTACTGCAAATCACGCTGGTACGACGTGACAATGCAGCGGACACACGAGCACTTTTCCCACATCACACTACAAACACAGCCGCCCTCTCTGGGGAGCCGAAGAGAAACGTTTGGGCTTCCAGTTCCCCTCCATTTGTTTGAAGGATCAAGAGAACACAGTTTCATTTTCAACAAAAATTAAAAAGGGAAATCATGAAAAGAACCAGCCTCCTCTTTTTTTTCTCTCTCTCTTAATATATTGTTGCATCCAGGGCAGAGGAAGCAGTGAGCGCCACTGATACTGGGTCCCTCGGGACCCTCTAAGGGTCACTCCCCAGCTATCAAATGAGCATGTCTTCCTCCACTTGCTACAGCAAGTTTGTAGTGGAAGTTACTGGAAGTTACTTTCAGCTCGGCTCTGCAGTACAAAACCATGAAATGCCGCAGCATCTCAGGATTCAGGCCGTGTTCACACCTGGGTTTTCACAGGGAAGACAGTTTTCAGTTTGAAGGCTTTGGAGGTTTGAAAAACCATTAGCCATGTTCCTGCCAGCCTCCATAGGCCTCTCTAGGAACTGTGTGTTCCTTAAGGACAGGAGCCAATTCCTTCCACACGTTTTTGTGTTTTATTTCTTCTTCAGGTGCTCACTGTGGTGCCGTGGGCCAATTCAATTTGGGGACTTAAAATATGACAATATCCCATTTATTCTGCATTGTTGCAGAACAATGTGTGCACTGGATAAAAATTTCCAGATGACGGTACTGTCACCCTTTGAAGAGCTTAAAAGGAAAATGTTATTTGGAGGGCATCTAGTGAATAAACAGGCAAGTTCATTGTTATTAACATGCATTATTTTACTGGCTGCATCAGAGATGTCCTCAGGGCCTACAGAGACAAAAAGGACTTTTTACAGCCTCGCTTGTGGTCTTGGGAGTTCTAGCGTCTTTCCTTGGTTTTTGGATTTCTAATTGTGTGCTCATTTGTCCTCACTTCTGCCATTCCTTGTCAGGATCTCTGTCTGAGAAGCTTCATTGATTTCTTTGGTCCTGACTATTTATTTCATCAGCAACTGTAACCCAGAACAAAACCCAAGAAACCAGATGGGCTTAATTCTACCTACATTACTTGGTAAATATGCTGTCTTGCCAACTGAGTAAAGAGCATGGGTTTTATGATAGCTCTGAGACTCTAATTCATCCCTTCTATCATTATGTGAGGAGATAGACTTTGTATTAAGTGGCATTTTATTTTGTACTTAGAAAAATATACATTTTTGTTATTATGACAATTAGCCTTCAATAGAACAAACCAGCTGGACCCCCAAAAGAGCTTTTGAACTGTCCACTCCTAACTCTTCCTTGCTACCTCTTTAATCAAGGCCAATGTTAACTCTCACAGACTATTAAAACTGCTTCTTAGTGGTCTCCCAACATCATCCTGGCTTCCTTCCAACCCGTCTTCCACACTACAGCCAGAATGAGCTTTAGAACATGTAAATCTCATCATTTCACCCCTCTTGCCCAGTGGCTTTCCATGTCAGCCTCTCCTTACATCACTCTGTCCCTGCTGGGTGTCTCACTGGCCATGTTTCCTATACAATAGCCCTTTGCACATGCTGTCTACTCTGTCTGGAATGCTCTTCCCCTGGTTTTCCCCATATGACTGACTCCTTATATCCTTAAGTTCTCAAATTAAATGTCACTTTTTCAGAGAGACAATTCCTGATCCCTCTAATTAAAGTAGGTATTCATTATTATTCTCTTTGTAGGGTGGATGGACATATGAGAGTGAACACAAGAATGAAAATCTTGGTATCACATGTTAACATCCACCAGGTTGCATGCACCATGGAAGAGAAATTAAAAAATCAGGCAGACAATGACCTTGCCAGTTGACTTCATCCCCCTATCAACAGGCACTCCAGTGCTAAACAAAACAAAACAGAACAAAAAACATATGAAGTAGCCACAGTGATAGATATGGAGGCTACACATGTGCCCAACAGCATAAAGTACATTTACCAAGAATGATCTAACTCTTATCACTGCTGAATATCCAACATACCAGCAACAAAGACTGATGCTGACCTTCCAATATGGCACCATTGCTTAGGAAGATCAACCGGTCACTTAGTGAGAAGTTGACTATATTGAGTCCTTTTCATCTTGAAGATCCAGGGGTTTTCTTTGTCATAGGAACAGACCTATACTTCCAAGGGTAGAGACAGGAGTGCCCCCTCCCCCCCGGCCCTTGTCAATACTCACAGTAACACACTGTTATACTTCTCATCCCTGTCACTCTGGGTTCTGCAGGGTTAGAGATTCTCATCCTCAAAAAGGGATACACTTTCACCTGGGGATACAGCAAGGGTACCATTGAGTTAGAAGCTACAGCTGCTATCTGGGCATTTTTTGTTCCTTGTCTCCAGAAACCAGCAGATAAAGAATGGAGTCACCATTTTGGCAGAGGTAATCAACCTAATCATTAGGAGGGAGAAGGCTGTGGTTACAAAATGGGTCATGGAGGAATACATGTGGAACCCAGATCACCCATTTGGGTTTCTTTTGGTACTTCCTTCCCTACTTGTGACTACAAATGAACAAGTATAGAAACTTCATTCTGAAAAGGGCATGTGTCTTAGTCCACTTGGGCTGCTATAACAAATACCATAGACTGGGTAGCTTTAGCAATAAACATTTATTTCTCACAATTCTGGAGGTTGGGAATTTCAAGATCAAGGTGTTGGCAGGTTCTGAGACTGGCAGAGGTGGTATCTGATGGTGACAGGGATCCCGACAGGTAGTGGAGGAAGGAGAAGATGAGTTTTGGCTGTGTCTCCTAGGCTAATTACAGTAGTGGGGGCTAAAGTTTTTCCCACTCATCTTCCTCTTCTAAGTTTTCCTTCAGAAAGAGAGGCCCACTGGTATGCTGGAGGAGATGTTCCATGAACGTACATGAACAAGTGGACTGGAGTCATACAAGGGGTGGACTGTGGTAGACAAGGGATGAGTCAAGCAGTGTCTCTTCAAGGAAGGACTTGTATCAAGCCGTCAGTCAGTAGACAACCTCTCGCCACTGGTTCCTTCAAGGTCTGTCCCTGCTACAGAGTCACACCGTCCTGAGGTCCTGCCCTTTCCAGGGCAGCCCATACCTGGTGACTGAGCAAGGGGGTGTGTGCAAAGGCCTGGGCATCTCTGCTCAACATGGCACAACTCTGATGGGCAATCCTTGCGATGAGCTACCTGCTATGTTGAGTGAGGCTTAGCAGGCTTGTATCACACACAGTTTGTCCTCTCTCTTTACTCAGCCTTCTTTCCTCCCCTTTCTTTTCACTGGCTCTAATCCCTGGAAAACATCTTGCACCCAGATTTGTCTCATCATCTACTCCCAAAGAACCCAACCTGGTACATGCTTTGGCGGCAAATGAGGAACTTGCTAACTAGGTCATTTGGAGCAACTTATTTCACTCTGCCAAGCCTCCATTTCTTCATCAGTAAAATGGAAATAAAATTTGCCTCTCAGGGTTGTGTGAGGTTTGAATAAAATCAAGTGTGTGATCACCTAGCACCGTGCGTGGTGTAGAGTGGTGTATGATGTTTAAAAGGGAAGCCTTCTCAGAAATGGCGACTTTCCATGCCGACACAGCGTTGTAAGCTGAGAAGGGAGAGCTGAGTGTTCTGTCTTCTGGCCACTTTGTTGGTGACAATAATGGCAAATTCTCACATAGCATGCACCATGAGCCAGGCACTTTTCAAGTGTCTTGCATATATTAACTCATTTAACCTACAAACAACTTGGTGAGGAAGGTTCCGAATCCCATTATCACAGGTGAGGAAACGGAGGCATGGAGAGGTTCACAAACCGGCCACAGGTCTCAAAGATTGCAAGTAGGAGAGTTGGGCTTTGAACCCAGGAACCTGATACCAGAACCTATGCTCATGCCCAGTATAGTACATGGCCTCTTGGTTCAACTGCATCCTACAAAGAACTTGACGCAGAGTAAGGCAATCTTGCCGCTCACTTCCCACTTCCTCATGACACCCTTCCAGAACTAGTTTTTTTGAATGGGCAAGATAAAGAGGATGAGGAAAGTGTCACCCCCCTGCAGATGGTCTGAGCTTCATGAATCCTTTCTGAAACCTTGAGGCAGGGAGAATCCAACATCTATCTCCCTGGGGTTGAAGCCCCAAAGGGAACTACTCTGGCAGAAGGGATGAGGGCAGGAGCGAGACACTGACAATGGTAGTTTCCTAGCAAAATTTCAGGTATTTGCAAATAATTAACTCAGCCTTTTCAACATGTCTTTATTTGCTTAAATTAACAAAATATAGGTTACATGCTATTTTCAGGTAAACTGCTTTTCCACTGAAGCAGAAAGCAATATTCACAACTTGGGTTACTACATACTTGGAGTTTTCATATTTAAATAGCAAGCCAGAATTCTGTACAAAATCAACATTTGGTGTAATGTTGTCCAAATATGCGAAGGATTTTAAATGTTAGCTCTGTTACATTTTGTTCCAGCAAAGCAGACAAAGATCATGATTCAAAATGCGATGTTAATATTTTATTAAATGTCTTTAGGGCTTAATAAATACAGTATGCACATTGGACTTTCTCATGCCGCTACTCATATACAAATATACCAGTTACCCTTGTGGGGTTATGAAAGGTCAGCCTCAGTCTCATGGCCAATGGGGAGTCAAATTTTTTAAAAAAGAAAGAATGAGAGAGGAATTAGAAGGCAAAAAGAGGGAGGTGGTCATAGGCCTGAATAAAAAGGATAAAAGAGAAATACGCCACTTGGCTGGTCAGTTGGCTGTTTCAGAGTGACAGCGGTCAAAAGTCTGGAAAGCTTTCGGGAGTGACCTATTTTCAGAGTGTCACAAGAGGGTGAATGTTATGCTGCCCTAGCCCTTAGAGTGCTGATAACCTTGGACGGTTTTGCCCCTCAGTTCTCTCAGGGTGACCCCCCGTGCTGTCCTTCAGGTTTGCATTCTCATTAATTAGCCCAGTAGGCAAGGTTGGCCAACCTTCCCTTAGCTCTGCACTTACACATGAGGTATCCATGTAATTTCTCACGCAAACTGGGATACTTCTGAGAGTTGAGGTAATACTCTTAGCAATGATCTTGGGGCAAAGGTATAAACCAGGGTTGGTCCAGGCAAGTCAGGATGGTGGTCACTCAACAACATACAAAACCAAGATTTTAGCCTTAATTCTCACAAGGTCAGTGTATATTTTATATTTATCATCAGGCTAGAGCTAATTAAGTCTCTCATACCCAGAGTCAAGAACTAAAAACAGGCTTTATAATACACTTCCTAACACTTTTTAAATTACTTTTCTTAGGCATTTTTTCCCCTCAAAATGAAATTTTACTTGAAAGGCTAACATGAAAAACAGATGAAATGTGAGCCACTTTGAGTGAAGAGGGTGTGAGGGCTGAGAGTTTCTCCTTCTCCTCTAGCAGCTTTGGAGGGACCTAAGAGGGACCTCTGGCTCCTTGATCCACAATTTGGAAACCATCATTCTAGACCATACTCTCTCCATCTCAACATGAACTTGATCCTCAAACATTCCCATGTGATTCATTTGGTTGGAAAAGACTAGAGCTTGCTATTCTAGATTTCCTGGTTCTGGCGAGGCATGCCCAGAACACACTGGAAGTATGTCTTCAACTACTATAGGCTACTGAAAGAATGAACTTGTAATGGGACCCTGACAGCTGGAGGCCTCACAGACCATGCAGCCAGCCTCCTGCATGATTTGATCAGAGGCACTAATGAACTATATCAATAATGACTGGAAGGCAAGTCACCCCTCCAAGGACTTGGGACACTTTCCTGGCACAGAGTTGGGCTTGTACCCACAGAAACCCAAACTATTTCCTTCAGCATCCCCTTTGCAGGAGCCTGACCTCAGCACACAGGTGGCGGTAGGAAACCCAAACAGCTTTGGCATTTGCAGTGGTGGTGAGGCTGAAGGAAAGAGCTTTAGGCGAGGGGGGCGGGAGAAATGCGTCAGGGATTGACAAAGCCCATGGGGGGATGATTAGAAGTCAGTGAGTGTCGGGGGAAGCACCTTGGCCAAGAGAAAAAGCTGACATCCAGCAGTCAGACACGGGCCAGGTCTTCTCAAGAAATGTACTGGAACTTTAGGAGGAGAGAAAGCAACACAATAAACAGTACCTCACTCTACAAATAAAGAGTTGAAACTACTAACCAAGAGGCAGTTTTTACATAAACACAGACACAGTACCAGAGGGTTACTGCTTATGGTCAGTCACAGATCTGCAACATCCCGTGAGCACTGCTTTACTTGGCACTGGTGCCTAAGGAAAGCCTACTGGCTGGGTTCAGCCCACCCATGACAGTCATGGCCACTCACTAGAGTCATGATTCAAGCATCTAGGAAGAAATAATGAGTCACTGTAGGCTGGCTATATATTTTTAAACATATTAGGTGACCATAAACATCACAGGCATCATCTTCTAATACAAAGAGTGTGTGTTTATACAGTGTGTGTGAGTGTGTGAGTGTGTGTGTGTGTGTGCACACATGCACATGCATGCGTGTGTTTGTGTCCTTGTGAGGGTCTTATGGAACAGGTAAGAAGCCCTAGGTCAGCAGTATGATTTCAAGGTCTCCTGCTCCACATTTTAATGAGTCTGAAGCCAGAAACACATACTCCTGGAGTCCAAGAGAGCCACCCTATTAGCCCAGTCAGTCTTTCTCGATCCTCCTGCACAGAAGAATCATCAGGGGGAACCTTTTAAAAAACACCAAAGTTGGGGCTCCACTCTAGACCAAATTAAATCAGAATCTCAGAGCTTGAGGCCTCAGCATTGGTATTTTTTTTTAAAGTTCCCCTAGATGATTCTACTGCGCAGGCAGCATTGAGAACACAGTCCAGAATCTCCCTTAGCAGTAATTAGCTGATGGTGATTCTAATATTCTAAAGAAGCAGCACTCAGATTGCAAGACTTCCCGACCACGCCCCCAGCTCCCGCGCTGAGGAGAAAGCCACTGCTCAAGGCGACAGCTCTTCCTGCAGCTACTTTATGGGGCACGGGGCCTCAGAACAAGGTCTCCAGGAAGGAGCTCTGCTCAGGACACAAGGGGTGAGCCTGCAGACGCTGACCACTTTGGGGCCATCTGACAATACGCTCCAAATGCCACATCTGATGAAGGCAGCTGGAGCAGAACAAGGCAGACCCAGGCAGGAAGCTCAGAACTGCTGGTTTTTCATTAGTTGAAATTATTCATATTTTCTTAAACTTCTCTCTTATATCTGCAGCAACCACTTGAGAATATCCTCTTCTATACCTCACTCTTCTTGTCATTTCTGGTATGTTGGCTTATTTAATAAAGGTGATTTTCATATATACAACTAGGAATGTTTTCATCTATCTGGAAAAATATGGTAACTTGCACACATTCAACTAAATCATCATTGATAAGGTAACGTGTCAAGCACCATATTTTTGCAACTAAAAAAAATTTCCCATGTATTGCATATTAGTCAAAGGAAAATAGAATTTCTAAAAGCACCTCAGCATCAGCTTACAATTAGGTCTCTAGAATATGTACAGTCTATTATAGTGGAGATGCATAAAATAGCACTGAAGAGGACCCTGCATGTGTGTTAGAAATCAAGGGGCCAAGGAAAGACCTGAGAAGCATTTACATTACTGAGGACAAATCCCTGCTCATGTAGTCTGAGCCATTTATAAAGATTTGCACCATTTGCCAGTCTCCAGCAAATGACAACTCATGCAGAAAGCTATATTTGAACTGCCTAGTTCTCATTTTCCAAATGCAATTTGAAAACTGTCCACTTAGATGCCTAAAAGCACTGCTTGTTTTTCCATTTTCCTCTCCAGTAATTCTTTTAAACTCTCATCTCTGTGCTTGAAGTACAAGTAATCAGAAAAGGAGGGGCCCCTCCGGGCACTCTGCAGAGCCCTGAGGTGGAGACACTCTTCTCTGAGGGCGAATTCTCTCTCCGGGCTGCCCTCTGCCCCAAGGCTGTCCTTGCTCCTCTCCTGGTGCTCTCCTTTGGGCTTGTCCTCGTCGTCGTCCTCCTCTTCCTCCTCACAGGGGTCCTCGAGTGCCCTGGGAGCTGGCTCGGGCTGGGTGGGTAGATCGTGGGGTGTGCAGGGCTGCCTGCTCTGTGGGGCCAGGCCCGGGCTGTCTTGCTCCACCTCATAGCTGGTGTCCTCCTCCTCTTCCTCATGGCAGGGGCTGCCCCGGGCGCTCTCCCCATCTGACTGGAACACTGGCCCCTTTGCCCCACGCTTCTGGGAAAGGTCAAAGGGCTCCTCTTGTTCCAGACTCCTGAGCACTCCTGCCGTCGGGGCCAGGGCAATTCTCCCCCTTCCAAAACCTGTGAGAGCAAAAGCAATATTCAGGCCCCAGGAATAGCTGTGAAAATGGGTCATTGCGTGGTACCCAGGGCCATTTAGTATAGTTTCATTTTACATTTTAAAAACAAATTCCTAGGCGCGCCTGGGAGGCTCAGTTGGTTAAGTGTCTGACTCTTGATCTCAGCTCAGGTCTTGATCTCACAGTCGTGAGTTCAAGCCCTGTGTTGGGCTCCACGCTGGGTGTGAAGCCTACTTAAAAAAAAAAAATTAAATTAAAATAAAAAATAAAAATAAATTCCCAGTAAGGGTATGGAGAGATGGGCCTTGTCACAGATGTAGTTTACATCAGTAGAACTCCTTTAAGGTAAATCTGGCAACATGTACCAAAAGCTTAAAATAAGCATAGCTCTGACTGAGCAATTATACAATTGAGAATTTAAACTATGAAAATAGTCATACAGGTGCACAAAATGTATAAGGATGCTCATCACATTTTTTTTTACAGTGAAACTGAAATGATAGAGGTTTACTTAGATAAATAATACAATGAACCACATGAAGAAGATGTAGAGACCTACTAATAGTCATAAAAAGGTATTCTATATATTTTAAGTAAAAAACATATTTATCATATATATATTTATAGTGCAGTCCCAATTTTATCTATCTTTATCAAAAAATATCTGGAAGAATTTACATCAAAATCTCAAACATTAGGTGATTCTAACATTTTTCTTTTCATTTCTAATATATTTCTTATTATTTTCAGTGAGCATATATTTTACCATAAGAAAAAACAAAACCATAACAAAGGTATTTTCATCTTGAAAAAATTATATTTACCATTTTGGGCCAAGAAGGCCACGCCATAACTAGGCCCCTAAGCACAGATAGAGAGGGCACAAAGAGATCCAAAGCCCCTGTGTCCAACCACAAGTATCTCTGCTGTTGGGCACAGCCATGCGCAAGGGGCTCACTTTTAGTTTCAGTTTGAGGGCCCTGCAGGGAGGGACTTTTCAGGAGCCAACAAACACATGGTAACATTCTGCCCGATTTGATCTTGAAGGTCTCTGGTCCTGGTGAGCCAGCAATCAGGCCCTGAGGAGGAGGTGGGAACAATCAGGCTTCCAGGGTGGGAGCACATAAGGGCAAAGGTCCAAGTCAGCCTGCCTTACGATATTGTCAGGCAATGAAGCTGTCTATAGCTTTAATCATGTAAGGGGCATGGGGAGGATCTTTTTAATCTGAGTCATGATTTTTGAGCCATTTCAAACACTAGAGTGAAAAAGTGCTAACACCTTCTGTAGATGAAAACATTAAAATTGTTGAAAGTCTGTTAACTTTCAAAGCATCTCTCTGATATATAGTGATGCTCTTTATTTTTCCAGAAGAATGACAGAGTTGTTAGGTGCCTTTTAGGATTTGAGCCCCCATGTGGGGTAAGACACGGTGACCAGGGTAGGCTTTCAAGTGGAGGACTGTCTCCTCATTGCCTTCTGTCCCCAGGCGCAGTGATTGAACAAACTTCACCTATTCTGGAAAAATCCAGGCCTATGTTTGAAATTGGCTCAGGCAACTAGAGATGCAAAGAATAATTCAGGAGAAAACCAATCTTGGGGAAAGAAAACGGCTTTTATTTTTTAACCAGAATTTTTTCAGAGCTTTTGCATAAACTCTAGGCTTTGTTTTGTGATGACCACAGCTCCCTGTCACTCAGGAGCAGTGTAAGCTCAGTGGGTGCCGTGAAAAATAGGAAAACTATAATCATTCTGTTTCATGCTGTGGGTATACGTGTGTGTTGTATTTATGAACACGTGTGCCTATTTGACCAGCTCTCTGAGAAGGGTAGGAGAAGCGGCCAACAAGAACAGATCACCCCATGTGTTCACCTAGTGTAGTGGGCGCCAGCTTCATTCAGAAATTCTGGAGTTGGAGTCCCAGTTCTGCCTTCAGATTTGGTGTATGACATCGAACAGTTTATAACGCCTCTTGGTCTTGGTCTCCTCTTACATAAAATGGGAATAACATAGGCTACTTTGTGAAATTGTGGGCACAAACAATAGTATTTCTAAAGTGCATGGCACTGCGCTTTAATCACACCAGTATCAGAAAACAGCTGTTCACAGCGTTTTGTTAAGTTACCTCAGTGTGTGCCTGCTCTCCCCCAACACGGACTTTCCAGGGAGCAAAGATGGTCTCACTTCCCTGGTCTCTCTGGCAGCACGTAGCGTGCTGTTTGGGATAGAGGTGGATTTCTTGCCTGCTTGTTGAAGGACCGCTTGTTTAAGTGACTAAAGAGCAACCTGCTGAATTTAGTGGATCGGGAACCTAAACTCTTCACAGCTAAGGGCCCTGGGACTGAGAAAATGGAAGAGTCAAGAACTTTTTACTGGCTCAGTGAGGACTCAGTGAGGGGAGGCAGCAGCCCGTGCTCTGCATATGGGCCAATTAGCCCCACCAAGCAGGAAAACTGTCCTTGGGTGCATCTGGTTGTGAACACGAGGAGACCTAGCCTGCTACAGGTACACTTCTGCTAATGCAGAGCTTACAGACCTGTTTTTTATAAAGGAAAGAAAAATCACATGTCCTTTAACAGCAGTGCGATGAAAAAGATCCACTAAAGGCTTTAGGGTCAGGAAGGTCTGTGTTCAAATCTTGACTCTGCCACTTTTGAGTTGAGCAGCTTTGGGAAAATCAGTATCTTGAAGCCTCAGTTACCCCATCTATAAAATGGAGGTAATAGAAGTTCCTCCCGCCTTGAGTTGTTTAAAGATTAAAGGAGACAGGACACCTGATGTGGTGTCTGGAGCAGAAACTAGTAACGGTACTGATGGGTGTCGTTCGGATATTCCAATTTCTCCTCTATGATTCACTTTTATGCACTACCTCCAGATATTAGCATTCTATTTGTTATAGTAACATTGTAAGACTCTTCTTTTTCCTCTGCTGTGGTCTTGAAAATTCTGATCCCTTTTCAACTACAGGAATAGCCCCCCAAAGTAAAGCCCCCTAAAAACAAGTTCAGCTCCCTTTTGTTATCCACTGGCCTCAGCAGGCTTGGGTGCTTCCTGGAAGAGTGATTACCTTGAGAATGGAGGCCCCGCTCCATGACCCCGTGCTTGACTTTCATGTGACGTGTCAGGTTCCCCTTTAGGGTGAATTTGCTCGGACAGTAGAGACACTTGAAGGGTTTGCTGTCAGAGTGCAGGTGCATGTGACCCATTAGGTTGTGCATCCGGTTGAATTCCTTCCCACACAGCTGTCAGAAACAATGATGAGGATAAGACAGGTTACTCATGGTGGTGGGCCCTCCCCAGATGAACCCACACCCAGGCCCATGTGAGGATGGATGTGCTACTCCTTTGTTTGGATCTTGGCATTTTAAGCGGCCTCCAAGTGAAATGTCCCCAGTGACGTCAGGGAGGGCCTGGATTGTGCCCGGCTCAGAGTGGAGCCAGTAGGAATGGACTCATGAGATTGTATTCCTATTACACAGTGATTTTTAAACACAAGGCAAAACTTGCAGACCTATTTCAGCTTCATTTGAATGCAGGTTGTAGAAAAGGAGAAAGGCTGATGTGAAAAACAATGGCTCAAAGTGTGCTTCACTTTAATCGTAAGTGTATGATTACTTGTTTAATATTTATGGAGCATTATAACATGGAAGATACTGTCCTAAGTCTGCCATGGAGTATCACATCTAATTCTCATGTCAATCCCATGAGATGGGTGCTGTTATCACCCCCATTTTACAGAGGGACAAAATGAGGGATTAAGGCACTCAGCCAAGGTACACAGCTAATGGGTACTGGAGCTGGGATAATGAACTAAGGCCACTAGACACCAGAGGCCACATGGTAAACCACCACACCATCCTGTGTCCCCTCAACATAACTCTTCTGTTAGACTGTATCGTGCAATGTGTTTCTAATTTTTTAATTTGATTATTTTGGGGATGGATGTCAAAATTAGAAAGAACAGAGAGCTAAAGGAAGGAATATGTCTTCTCTATGGGGCAGAGATTTGAAGTACTGAAAAATATTATCTCAGCTATACAAAAAGTAAACATGTTTTATTCATTTCTTTCTTTTTGTTGTTTTGTCATTTCTTCTTCCAACAAAGTGCAGATGCATGATGGATCAGAACAGTGGTTCTCCAACTTCTTTTGAAAGAACTGAACTGCCTTTTCGAAGGCAATTTATGCAGTTGCAGAAGGTGGAAAACAGAATCTGCTGCTCTGGGTCTTTTCCTTCCTTTTCTTGTCCCCAAGCCCTAGCAGAGCAGGGTTTAGAGGATCCAGCCCTCCCTCAGCTGTGCTGGGAAGAATAGAAAGAAGGGTTTTCTGTCTGTGCTAAGGCCAGAGTGTTAAGAAGGAACATCTTCCTTCCCTCCCCAAACTCAGAGGCCCATGTCGTGAGGGCAGCGAGATGGGGGGAGAGATAGCTTGGAGAGAGGACTCAAGGTAAGTGTCCCCTGAGGCTGACACCAGTTTTCCTTTCTCACAGAGAGAGATTTTCAGGGATAGTGTTGGGGATCCTGGATTGAATGTTTATTAAAGAAGGCACTGTTTCTGTTAGGTGGCCTTGGAGATGAGACTTAACTGGCCCTGGAAGAATGCGTAGACCTAACAAACAATGACCTTGGGAGGCCAGCCGAAAAGAATGCTGGGTGGTAAGAGGCAGCCAGCTGGGATGACAACTTTGTCACAGATAATCCACGCATGGATAATGAATAATTGGTTCTGTATTTTTAAATGATTCATATTTGGGGGTTTTAAGTACTTTTTTCCCTTTTTACTTCCTTACTGGCAAGAATGAATTTGGCATACTGGTGTCCCACACTCAGTATTCAGAGCATCTGCACACCACATTCATGTGGAAAAGGTGACCCAAGAGGGAAAAGACTGAGAGTGTTGGTCTAATTTTAACGTCCTGGGGAGAAGCCCTACGTGTGGGATGGATACTTGCTTTCTTTTATTCTCAATAGAGACAATTTAATAAGATGAATCAATCTGTGACTCAGCTTTGCACATGTGTGGAAGTTCTGGTAGAGTATTACTTATTAGCTTAGCTTAGTTTATCCAGTTCTCCATCCTGACTAAGGGGGAAAGAAAGCTTTGAATCTAGAGATTCTACATTAGGTATTTCCACTCATGATTCATTTTAGAAAAAGTATATCTCATTTGGTTTGTGGGATGGTTCCTGATTATTTGGAGTGAGGTTGCAGCAAAAGATCTGAAAACAGCAGAAGCACAAGACACGTGGTTAAGCACAAGACACGTGGAGCTGGAGGTTAAGCACAAGACACGTGGAGCTGGAGGCTGCAAGATCAGACTACTGCACTAGTTCAAGCTTGGATGGGTCTCATGGTAGTTTAAACCAGACAGAATTGAAGAGATGGGTGCCTTCTGCACTTGGCTCCTAAAAAGGAGACATTCTACTTTTAGGTATTACCTCTACTTGCTAAGGTATTAGAATCTGGACTTGTCTGAAACGGTTTTTATAAAGGAGATGGAATTTTAGCCAAACCTTGAAGAATGTATAGGGTGCCATTTGTTTTTGTTTTGATACAGAATGAATTCTCTTCATTAAGTAGTTTCAGGCACTCTATTCAACCTTAAACGATAGGCAACACAGTGATCACAGCTGTGATAATGACCAACTATTCGCTGTTGCCACAGCTGCTGTGACTTAGAGGTCAGAGGGATCGTGCAGTTCACCCACCCCAAGGTCCCACTTCCCTTTCCCCTTCCCCATCCCACTCCCACCCCAACACACAGAGATGTGTGCACACATCAGAATGGCTACTGATAAGTAATTTCCAGATTCTTTTTTAGCTTTAGACAAGCCACATTTTATGATCCTTTAACATAGCCCAGTGTGTATTTTTCTAATATAATGTTTTTCTAACTCAATTCATTCACTCCTGAAAATCATGAAACATTTTTAGTGGTACATGAGTATATCAGGACATTAAAATGATATTGTTCCCTGAAGTCAAAGCATATGGCTTTAGGGAAGGTCCACTGTAGGGCATGACTGGTCAGCTATATTATCAGAAGGTGACTGGTAGAGGACACTTATTTTTGTGCTGATGGTAAAATTTATTTTTTATATATCAGAGTTATCCTTCATGGTTTATGGTAGCCTACTGGACCAACCGATGGAAAGCTTTTGCAGGGTTGAATGAAGGTGTGTCAACTCTGAAAGATGTTTGGGGCACTAAAAGGAACCCTAGGTTATCTTCTGAAATGCAAGGGCTACCTTCCTTTTCTTTGTGGCCAACCTCAATATGAAGCACAGGGCTATCCACATAGTAGAAGATATTTTATGTCTGTGAAATTCAGAGAGAGACCTCTCAGTCACTGTTACTGAAGAGAGGCCAGAGAAAGAGAACTGGGCGAATTAAAGATGGCACCCTTGGGTGGGGTTTGAGATGTGAGCTCCAAGAAGAATCATTATAGTAGAGAAAGGGAAGTAGACTGGAAGGAAGAAGAAGAGTTGGGAGGGATCACCAAAATGCTAGTTTCTTTTCCTGGGGAAAGCAGTCAGTCTATGTCAAGGCCCCTGTAATCATGAGGTTTGAGGCTAAGAGCTTACCCAAGTCAAGACTTGCTGAATCATCTCCTGCCAAGGTCTGTGGGGATTAAATTAAGGTGGCTGTCGATACAAGAAGCTACTGGAATGGTGACGTCTCAGATGTCATGGTGCAGGTGGTCATCTCAACCAGTCTGCCCCTCCTGAATTCTCAGTTGCTCTAATGAGGGGTATTCGTGTGCCTCTGACATTAAATCTCAGCTTCTCCGTCAAAGACACACTTTTATGCCTACTTTTTAAATGGAAGGGGACCTCAACATTTAATAGAAAATTGGAACAAATGTTTTGAACTGTCCTTTAAAAGTGGGTTGTACGAATCATTAGGTTTGGAGATAGCAGAGCAGAGAGGTGATGGTGAGAGCCCAAAAGGATAGAGAACTTGCTCCATTTTCTCTTCTGTAAAATGTCAATGATAATAATAGTTTCTTATGAAAGTTGTTGTAAGGATCAAATGAGATCATTCATGCAAAGATCTTGCCAAATAGTAAGAGCTCAATAAATATTAGCTCTTATTATTATCATTATCATGTACATAGTAGACTCCTTTACATTCTGGAAATAGAAAGATCTTTACAGGTAAGAGTGCTTTTTAAACCAAATTATTTGGAGGAAATATTAGAGGGAGGACGAAGTAAGGAATCCTTTGAGCAAATACTTGCCAGGTCACTTGAGACGTACAGAAATGGAAGGAGTTGTGCCTGACCCAGCACTGAGAAACGTGGTTGGAAAGAGAAGAGTCATCCTGAATTGCAGCCTTTGGGAAAGCCCTTTATGCGGCTCCGCAATCCTCAGCCCTTTAAATAGCTGGCCGAAGCCCTGTTCACTCCTCTGAATTCTGGCCTCCTCCTGCCCCGTCCCTCGCTGTCCAGGGCCTGGAGGCACCTCAGGCCACTTCACGTGAGCTGCAGTGACAATGCAGCCAGTCAGCCACACCGAGAAGCCGGCTTCGTGCAGAGACTGGGTGATGGCAGCAGGCAGCCCTGGCCAGAGGCCCACAGAGCCAAGAAGAGGCATGCCGCTTCGTGCCAAGCAGCCTCATCTGAGCCTGAGGACTGAGATGCACCAGGAAACCTGTGTTTTCCTATTCTAGGAGAAAAGGTCAAAGAGCTGAAGCCTGCAGCCGAGGAGAATGGCCTCTGCTAAACTGCCCTTCCCTTACATTCTTCTCTCTCTCTCTCTCTTTTAATAAGAAGGGTGTTCCTTTCCTCAAAGGGAGAGAGAGGGAGGGAGGGAGAGAGAGAGACTGTAAACTGTCCAAAAGGACCGTGAGAAAACAGGAAGCTTTGAAAAGTACAAGAGAAAGCAAGATGAAATCTATTTGCAGGCGGGCCCCTGGGGACATGTGAGGCATTGTTAAGCAGGCAGTTCATACAGCTATATCCTTCCTTCTGCTGAGGAGGGCTTTGCTGCCAAAAGGCTGCTATCTGGTCACTGCCTTAACCCCCTCCATGCCAGCCTGAGAGCCCTGACCCAAAGTTCTGGGCCCCTCACAGGCCCCAGCCGGTTTGTTCCCCATGGGGCATCCAAGAGCTGGAGTGCCAAGCAAAGCCATTGTGGCAAAGGTGGTGGGACCCTTTCCAAGGAGACCTCATCCTCTTCTATCAGCTCTGCCCTCCGCCTTCGGGCCTCTGCCTCAGACGAGGCTGCAGATGACCTGGTGATTCATAACTTAGGCAGCTCCCGGCTTCACCCATCTCAAAGGAGAATTTGTCCCGGAAATTCTGGATGGCTGCTTTTCCTGGACAGGTTTCCCAAAGACGGCAGCTGGTTCTTTGCTATTATGGAGTGTGGCTGCTACAAGGATAGCATCCAAATCAACCCCTGCGTGCTTACGCAGAATCTGGGAAGCGTATTTCTGAAACATGGCTTAAGTCTACAGGCGCAGGTCTTTGGAGATCCTCCAGCTGGCTCCAAGAAGCAGGGAGTCCAGAAGTGGAGCCAATAGCAAAAGAGCCCAGAAGGGCAGTAATTTTTTTTTTAAGAGAAAAAAAAAAGAAATATAGAATGGAAACCTTTCCTCTCCTCTAATTTTCCGTCCTATTGTTAATGCTTAATCTCACAGTGAGCGAATGTTTCTGCTTGCTGTGGACAGCTGTTTCCACTGAGCATGGGGCCAGAGAGAGCCAGTCCATGTTGCAACGGGGCTGGGGAGGAGGGGGGAGTGCTTTAGGTTAGGAAGGATTTTTAGTGGTGAGAAACCCAAGAAAGTAGAATCTGTTACTTAAACAATCTCCCCTTTTTACAAGGTTTTGGGTCAAAGAGACAGAGCTAACTCTTGGAACATGATTGGAGCAAGGTCTGCCTCCTTTTCCAGCCATGTCAGTCATGTAAAGGGAACATCTCCTCCCTGTTACCCACAATAAAGCTTGGGTTGAGTTTTCTGGGCCTCTTCTCCAACATCGCTATGCAGTCAGCCAGCAACTCATCTCTGACTGACTGTGAATTTTGTAGCGATCAGCAAATGGCCCTCCATTCCATACCCAACTCCCAAAGTCCCATCAACCTCCACTCAGGGCCAGATTTCCAAGAATCCACAACGACACTGATGGGGAGTGAAGTCCACAGGACACAATATCCTACAGTGGGATCTGGGGCTAGTTTACAAACACATAGAGCCCTGTCACATACTCTGTAAACTCAGACATGCACTGAAATTCCTTTGAAATGAAGAAGGGTGATGACACAAAGAGGACACCAAACAGGGGAGCACTTAGCAGGGAGATGGGGACAAGGAGATGCTTCTGGCACCTCCCTGGAGGTAGATGGCTCTTCAGTGAGGTGACTGACCCCTGTCCTTGTTTCAGAAATGTCTAAGAATGGAGAAGGGCCACCTGCTTGACCAAAGTACCTTTCAACAGCCACTTGTTTTTTTCTAATGATAGATACACTCTCCTAGGCAGCCTTCTGACCCATAGTGTGGTCTCCTGGGAAAACCCCTCCACCAGGGAAAGGTGGCCTTTGCAGATGACTCGTCCAATTCCTGCAATAGGCCCATCTGCTACTGAAGAATATAAACTGTGCATCATCTCAGAGCTGGCATTTCATCCTGCAATCAGGTGGTGTGAGCACACATACAGAGCCTAATGCACCCTCAAGGAGAGGTCAAATTGAGTTTCTGAACCACAGAGTGGAACCTCAGGCACCCGTTGAGCCCTGTATGGTACACTATCATTGGGGTGGATGGTGGATGCCCAATGCCCATAAAGCATTGGGCAAAGCTGGCTCACTGATCAATGGGCCCAGGTTGCACTATAATATGCAGTCTTCTGTGCACTGGTACCAGAGAGAACCTTCTAAACCCTCAGATACCACCTGGCTCAAGAAATTCTCCAGGCCGTTCCAAAGCCCTTGAGGTAGGCACACAGAACTGCCCCTATGTCCCCAGATCAAACCCAGCCTGCAAGTCCTTTTTCTGTATCGGCTCTGCTCCCTGACATAGCCCTTGTTTCAGAGATATTTTCTGCCTGGTTTAAACCCTACTGCTGGACCTGAATTGATGAGGTGGAAGTGGGAGTTGGCTGGACTGGACAGGTGTGGAAGGGACGGCAAGCATGGCTCCCTTCGTGTTTTAACAAGGTGCATGTTCGGCCACCAGTTGATAAGATAAAAAACACAGTTTGTGCTCAAAACCCAAGAGTACACTCAGCGTAACACATGAAGAGTGACTGATAGCGCCTGTTTGCACCCCCACTGTAGGAAAGAGCAAACCCCTGGGCTCAAGTGGGAAGTGGGAAGGAAATCAAGGGTGCCTAACGAGAGAGCAAAGAGGTGGGATATGGAATCCACAGGCTCGTGCAGCCAGGGCTGGCTTCATGGACATGGGACCAATGCAGTCACACAGGCCCCAACTCAGAAGGGTCCTGAGTTTAACACCTTGAAATTCTTAATAATGTTTGAACAAGCGGCCTCACATTTTCATTTTGCACCAGACACTATGAATTCTGTAGCTCCATCTGCATGCAGCTTCCTCCCCCTTCGGCTCAGATGACTCAAGATGGACATAAATTGACTTTCAAACCACTGGGAACTTGAAGGAAAGGAGGGGAAACACAAGTGGGTGGCAGGAAAGGGCTGGAGGGAGAAACCTCCCTCCCCCACCTCCAGAGAATGCTCATAGAGGTCTAGGGAAGCTCTGGTTCCTGACCCCTCTCACCCCGTCCAGGAGTGGCCAACACAGGAAAGCAGTTAGCTTCACAGGGGGTTCCTTCAAGTGGGGAGGGGGGACAGGGGACATGCTGTAGAGGGATTAAAGCAGGAACAGACCCTCGGATGGACAGAGCATAGCATTGGGACCCTATCAGACATGCAGCAACCAAGAAGGAAGACTTCCATTTCAAACAGAGAGGCTCTAACTGAAGGTGGGGTTCCCCTCTCCTTCCCCCTCAGCCCTCTCTTCACAATGGGGATGACACGTGCCCGTACATTCCTTGAATTAAACTACCCAATCCTCGGCAAGATTCCTTCTCACTCTGGAGGTAGAGAAGGGAAGCAATGTGGGGAGGGGATGGGAGGAGAGGGGAACAGTCTGGAAAGCCCAAGCATTTCTAACTAATACCAGTCATTGCCTTGAGTTTTACAAATCTCCAGCTCCCACGTTATCTCCGCTGATAAAATAAAAATCCAACCAGGTTAACCTGATACAGACATTTTAATGAAGATGCTCAATCCTTGCACTCCATGGTACTTAGGAACAAACGAGAAACACTTCAGATGACTGTGCTCACAGTTATTCCCTGACCCAAACAAGCATTTCTGAGGTCATCAGAGGGGCTAACCTCAGAATCTCATTCATCTTGCCTGGGAGACCTGCCCTCAAATTACACGGCTCAGTCCAAGTGTCAGGAGGGCAAGGGGGGTGGTATGAGACAGGAGGGGTAGTGCTAGAAGCCTCTGTGACTCCTTTCTCTATTCTACTTATTGGCTTGTAAGGAGAAGAGGACTATACCTGATTGCTCCTTTCTGGAATGGGAACTCGCCACATCACCTTCGTCCTTTAACAACCTCATTCCCCAAATGGGCCTTCCATCCTCAGACCTCCCCTACTGGCTCCCTCCTCCCCTCTACACTCTGATTTCACAGTGAGACAAACAGGGCAGGATTCTCAGGGACCGGCTAAGGGCTGGTGTGAACATAGGGGGTGCAAAGAGGAACAGAGCAGCAGATGGGCCTGGGGTTGGCCACAGACCTACTCTGAGCCTCAGTGACCCCACCTGATGACACAGTAGAAAGTTTCCTGGAGATTCTCCCCCATAGGGCATTAGAACAACCCTCTGAGTCCTCCCCACCTGCATCCCTCCTGGGGCCCACTGCCCACCTTGCATTTGAAAGGCTTCACGTCAGAGTGGACGATCATGTGTGCCTTGAGGGTCTGTTTCTGCACAAAACTCTTGTAGCAGAGGTGACACTGGTAGGCGCGAATGTTGGTATGGATCAGCACGTGTCTCTTCATGTTGGCCAACAGAGTGAACTCCCGCCCACAAATCCCACATTTGTGCTCCTTCACGCCCTGGAGGGAAGCAAGATTCCAAAAACACTGTGGTTAGCAGGTAACATGCTTTCATCAGAATTATAATCTTCATTTTTCTCTTTGCCACACAAGTCCATGAAGAGCTTGGTGACAGATGCTGAGTCCCAAATGGTGTGGCATTAGCCTTGTTAATTGCTGTTTTCTTGAAAAGTGTTGATTACATAATCTTTTTTGTTTTCTGAAAACCATGAACTAAGCCAGACCTTTAGAGGAAAAGAAAGCTACTGCTCTTGTTCCTGCTGCTACAGGGGTTAATTCTACAGTAACAGTTCTGGGGATTAATAGGATTTTGGTAAGAGCACTGTGGAATGATATGTGAAATGAGTCTATAATCCACCTTTCCTGATAATGAAAAAATAAAACCTTCTCAAGTGATACTATCATTTCTCATATGAAAACCACTGTTTTCTGGCGTTCTCATTAATGGACTTGAAAATCCCAGAAGAACAATCCTTATGCACACTTGAATAAATTACAACGCTTGAAATAGTCTCTTGGGCTCCCACAGGTCATGGTGACCTCTGTGATTTGGCTATGGAGCCTCTACTCGGCTAGCTTCTGCCCTATAGAGAAATTTGGCAGAGGACAGCTTTCTGAATTAGAAAACAGGACAGAAGGAGACTTTCTACTTTCCTTGCTGTTTATAGAGAAGTGTTTGAATTCTTAAGCATCAATGCCCTCAACTGAAAGCACTCCCAGGGACTCATAGTGTAAGTAGAGTATTAGCTATTCCTGACTCACCAGTGCTTTCCTGAAAAGGCCTCTACAAGCCATCTTAACACAGAATGACTTTTCAGAAGGAAAACTTAGAGAACCATGGCATTAAAACTAAGGTTGTTACAGGATTATAACAAGTTGCTTAGCTAACAATTGTACCTTATAAAACACATATTATCTGGTATCCATAGTGACTTAGGGAGAGAGGAGTTCCAAGTATAGGTCTGAGTCTCTCTGCCTATATGTCCATTTCTTTAATGTGGGACATGATAAAATATCCCTCTTCAGTTTTGGTGAGCCCATGGCACCTAAGGGCAAGTCCACGTCTCTGCCCAGCCATTTATTGGCTGTGTAACTTTAGACAAGTCTCATGGCCTCTCCTGGGGATGGCTCCCTCATCTCAAGATGTGGTGGTGGATATGAGAATCAGGTACTCTTTCCAGCTGGAATACTCTTGAGTCTAGATGATTGTAGATGAGTGGGAATTTAGGCTAACAAAGAGACCTAAATTTTAATGCCCTCCTAAGAAGATGAATTTTAACAGTATGTTGCATATTCAAGCCATGAGTTTAAAATTTTGAAATTAATAAATTAATCTTCTATAATTAATTTTTATAAATAAAAATTATGTTCTTGATGGGTTTCAAACATTACTTCAGCATCTTCTCAAGATTGCCTCTCCACTTGCCTATGATTCTGTTGTCTTGCGACCAAGGAGAAGAATCTACTTATCACTGTTTTCCGAATTCTCTAAAGAGTAAAATTCACACGTAGGCTGGCCTAGAACTCAAGTGAACGGAAGGCTGGACACAACTTGGGGAACCAAGGAAGTGACTGTGTCACTAATAGGATCAGTGGAAGCACAGAGAGGGAGCCCGTGGGGGTTGTTAGGAGTGAGGGAGGTAAGGGGGTGGAGAAGGGGAACACTTGACAGTAGCATTCAAGAGCTGGAGTCCCAGATTCTGGGTGACTACCCCATGCCTCAGTGCCTTCATCTGCAAATCTGGAGTAGAGATACCTGCAGGTAGCTCTTAGAGTTGTTGAAGAGGATTAAATGAGAAGTAAAGCACCTGGTACACAGCAAGTGTTCAGTAAATACTACCTCTCACTATTTGCTGACACTGTGGATTAAAATGGGTTTTGTTTCCTAATTCAAGTGAGACATTTCAGATACCAGGTTGTTTTGTCCATTTTTGACTTCATTTTCTACTATCTTACAGAATTTTTATATGTTCTAAAATGCATCTTTGGCTCCTTTTCCACACATGTAGGAGTCCTTGAAATCAGCATATGGTCCCCTTTGTGGCTGGATCTCAGTACAGATTCTTTGTTGATGGTTCCTGCATTTGGCAGGTGCCCCCTCTCTGGATGGAATCTACGGTGCCTTTTGCAGGGCAGGAGCTGTAGAATCTACAGGTACACTGCCAACAGGGCAGCCACACATTTCGTCTCTGCTGCAGAGCCAAAAAATGCCCCTGTTGTGTCCTAACCTATCAAATGAAACCCATTATAGCAGAGTAGAGATGTTTTCTTGGCTGGGCAAAGTCCTCCACTGACGTTTCTGAATTAAAGAGTGGGTTTTAGAAACTCTGGCTTACTAGAAGTCTCTCCCGCCAAGAAAACCACTTGAGGTCAAAAGTGTGAGGGGAGAGGTCAGTGGGGCAGAGCTCCCCTCCCAGAAGCTCAAAGCAGACCCAAGTCAGCTTAGCTGGGTAAGATTTCAGGGACATGACTGGGGCCTTGCCTTAGTTCATCCTGCAGGACTCCAGTGCTCTGGTTGCAAGCTAGGCTGAAATTAGACCCTCGGGCCTGTAATTCCCAGGGAAGATAAAACCAAAGCAAACAGAAGGATACTCTCTCACTCCTCCCAAAACAAACCACATGGCACTGCACCCAACAAGGCGGGGGCTCTACTACCGGAAGCGCAGGCCTTGCTGGACCCAGAGCCATGTGCATATGAAGCAGTTCTCAGAGCTAAGCGAGAAAACGACCCAAAACGGAGCCACGGCTTCGCCAGCAAAGGACCAAGACAAGTCTCTAGAAGAAGGCTCTGATTAGTATATCCCAGGCACAGAGCTGGTCTTGGGTAAATGAGGCCTAAGGCCACACTCATGCTAGTGCCCTGGATGATGTTTCCAGAAACCGAATTTTAGCGGTTGTAGGAGGCTAAGAAGCAACAGCACAAGGACCTGCTGTTTCCTTCGGCCTTCCTCACCCTCTTTTCCGAACTGGCCACATTATTTACTTCGAGGCCCATCTTAGACTCTAGAAGGCTGGAGGGCAAAGGACGTGCTTGCTGGTCTCCTCAGCGTCTGCCATGTCAAGGCGAGGAGGGAGGTGAGCACTCAGGGAAGCAGCCCCTTGCGCAGGGTTGCACAGCCCCTCCCGTCCCAGGCGGGGGGCGGCGGAGGGCTCCTGGCCCCTCCCCTCCAGGGCTCTGCGCCTGCTCCCCAAGCACCGCCCCCGCCCCCACCCCCACCCCCACCCGCCGGCCCGCCCCCGCCGCCGTACCTTGTGCGTGAGGGAATGCTGCTTGAGGTGGTGGGGCTGCACGAACTCCATGCCGCACTCGGAGCAGATGTAGGGCCGGATGTCCTTGTGCTTCATCATGTGGTTCTGCAGCTGGCTCGGGTACTGGAAGGTCTTGTCGCACTCGGAGCAGCTGTACTGGATGGGCCCCCGGTGCGTGGTGAGGTGCCTCTTCAGCTGGGCCAAAGTGGGGAAGTCGAGGCCGCACTCCACACAGATGTTCTCGCGCCCGCTGGCGTGCTTGGCCTCGTGGGCCTTGAGCTCGCTGGGGTAGGCGAAGCCGCGGCCGCACACGCGGCAGTTGTGCGGCTTCACTTCGCTGTGCTGCATCATGTGGCGCTTCAGGTGGCTGGTCTGCGTGAAGGCCTTGTGGCACACCTGGCACTTGTGGGGCCGCGTGCCCTGGTGGGTCAGCATGTGGGTGTGCAGGTGGCTGAGCTGCTTGAAGAGCTTCCCGCAGCGGGTGCACGCGTGCGGCTTGATCCCGCTGTGGCCCAGGATGTGGGTGACCAGGTTGTACTTGGAGGTGTAGGACTTCTCGCAGGTGGGGCACTGCCAGCGCTTCTGCGCCCCGCCCACGTCCACGTAGTAACTGTCGTCGATGCGCACGTTCACGTCCACCCTCTCCACCTTCTGCTTGGTCTCCTCGCTCTCCTGAGGCTCGGCTTTGCGCGGCAGCAGCGCTTCCGGGGGCTGCTTGGGCAGGAAGGTGTGCCGGCTGAAGGGGAAGGGGGAGGCCGAGGGCATGAAGAAGGGGAACATGAGGCCAGGCGGCACCTTGGGGTAGTAGGGGTAGGGCGTGGGCAGGAACGGAGCGGAGGTCGGCTGGGGCCATACGGCGCTGGGCTTCACGGGCTCCTGCTTGACGGGCCTGCCCCCTAAGTGTTCCAGGGTGCGGTAGAACTGGAAGCCCACATTGCACAGGTCGATCATTTGCGAGTCATACTTGGGGCGCGGGGGCTGCGGGAAGAGCAGAGAGAGGTTCGGAGGGCCGTGGTTTTTGCTCTCCTCATGGAGGACGAGAGGGGCTTCTTCTGCAGGGTGGTTGTAGGGCATCTTGGTGGGCATGCTCTTCCGTTTCCGAGACCCTCCTCCTTCAAAGACCCCCGGGAATCCATCTAGGTGTCCCGGAGGAGGTTCATACCGAAATTGGGAAAAAGGCCCCCGGAGAGCTTCTGGGAAGGGGTGTCTTTGGGGAGCTTTCCCTCGGGAAACCACTGGCTGCAGGCAGTGGGGAAAGGAGGGGGCTCTCTTCACACCCAAATTGAAATGCACATCCTCATCTTTGATCATCTTCATTTCCTTCTGCATCCTTGGCAATTTTCCTTTAAAGAGAAAGAAACTTACTGTTTAAAAAAGAGTCCCTTTTTTTCCCTGAAGGGTTCTGGCTAGATATCAGTACTAATTTATGAAGAGTGATGCTTGTTTAATACTGACCCTCAGTTATCCTAGGGCGTTTGAGTATCACATTTTTTCCCCTTACAAACCCGTTACTAAAGTGGAAAGCCCTGGCCTCCTGGAGTGGGACCCTTGAGGTCCAGTGTAAATCCACAGCCACAGAATCGTAGCTGGGGGTTGGTGGGGGGCGCTTGGGAGTGCACTGGACTGGGAAGAAACCTGAGAACTCAACTAGCCATTGTGCCCACTTAAGATGAGGCTACAAAAAAAAAAAAAAAAAAAAGAGGGTAACAAGGCCCAGACAGATGAAGTGACATGCTCAGTGCAGGAGTCAGAACGGGGATGCATTCTGATGTGGGTTTTCAGCCTGAGATGGAATTGTCATCTGCTAATGGTGACTTACATTTGTCTTTGGGGTTGTTTCTGTTCTGAAGGAACCAATTTCCCGTGCCCCTCCCTGTCTTGGGGACCTTTGCTGCTGGAGGATGAGAGTACTCAAGTCCACACAGGTGAAGAGATTTAACTGGTTAACTGGGATCTCAGATTTTCTGAGTTACCCACTCTGAGCAAGGTGTGCTGCTGGGATATATCAAGTGGATGAGGTCAACGTGATTAAGAAAAGCCTGAGCCAATGTCACAAAGTCATCTTGGCAACTTATGCATTTTCATCTTCCACCTGGAGCAACCTCGGGTGAAAATTTCCAAGACTGGGAATCTCTAAAACTGCGCTTGCGTCTCCTCCTTCACACAGGTGTCGGGGTAAAGCTTGGCTTTCAGTGACTCCTGAGGTGCATGACATTTCCTTGCTGAGCCAGTTACCGCATCCTGGTGACTACATCAGGTATGTGTGGGAGAGCCTGTGGGCTGGAGTCTAAACCAAGGACTCTGCTTCCTTTCACATGTCTCCTTGCCATTTTTCTACACTCCTCATGTGGATAGTGGTAGAAAGAACCAAGTGGCTGACTCCACGTTTACAGTGAGGGCCCTTTGTACCCAAATCCTCTGAGCTTGGATGGGATACTTAAGGCCCTGACCCTGTGAGATTGGCTACATGCTGAGCAATGTAGGGTGAAGGTCCCAGGGGTGAGAGGGCCAACAGCTTCTAGTGATTTTCTTCAGTCCTTGATGAAGAAAATGTAGATTTGCAAGGACCTGGATATTCCCAAAACTGCACATGTGTCTTCATGAGAGGTTTGAAAACTGCAGCACAGTTAAAACAAAATGGGTTTTTTTATATTGGATTACCAATTCCATACACAGAGGATCCAACTGAGAGAAAAAATATGTCCTTTATTATATGAATATTTGGGCGTTACTTAAAACTGTTACATAAAATCATCAGAAAATGAAAAAATGTCTATTAATCTTTGTATTTATGTGGTGGGAAGACAGTCCTGGTTTGTCTTCTTTCCATGGGTTTGGGGCTTAGTAATTAAGAGCAAGAGCTTGCTTGTTTAGCAGAAGGAAACCTCAGCCCTGGATCCCATCTTTCTTCTGCTGCTTCCTAAAATTGTTACCAAATGCTAGGTCTCCTACCACTGCAGACTCAAGGACCAGGCACCTGTAGGAGATGAAGAGAGCAGCTGGAGAATGAATATCTAGGTTTATGAGGTCGGGGAATCCTGCTCTGCTGTTGACGACACCAGGGTAAGGATGGAGAGGGAAGAGGCTCTTGGATGGTTTTCCATGTTTACTAGGTCTCGCCTTGCACTCCAGCAGCTCCTGCTCCCTGAATTCACATGCAGTTATAGAGGGTGTGGGGGACCCTGATCTGAGAGTTTGTTGCTTCTATAAAAATAATTGGCTTCCAGACAAGGTTAATGTGTCCTATTGAAATAAAGGTGAAAAATGGCAGCTCCTTTCTCTGGATTTCATTTTGGCCATGGTTGGTTGTATACCCTTGGTGGAGAGAAGATTCTATTTGCAAAAAGGCTACTCAGACTGGAGACAACTACTCCAGGCTACATGTGACTATGGCAGACGATGGGAGAGCCCATCCAAGTACACACTGGTTCTGTCTGTCTTATTCTGATCTGGTTTAAAGAGGCAGTGATTCCTATTTCCTATTCGAGAGCTTGATTGGAGAATTAGTAAAAAAAAAAAAAAAAAAAAAAGTTGGGAGGGAGAGAAAAAGATAACAGAGAGACATATCAGAGCATGGACCAGAATGTATTGAGTTTTTTGTGTATTTTATTGTTAAGAAGGTATTAGAAAATGCATGGCTATTGATGTCTGGTGTCTTTATACCATGTGTTATATCTTACACTAGAAAACTACTTACATGGAAATGAATGTTATCACTAATTTTGAAACAAAAGGTGTTTTGGTATATACACATTATTGCCTTTGTTTAATATATTTGTTTTTAGTTGTGACATAGTCGACTAATTGAGTCACTTTACTGTATTAGTGACATTTTTAATACAATACTAATTTCAAAAGCATATTTTCAGTGTTTACATTTTAATTTTATCACCATCAACCTAGTAAGGCAAAGAAACATTGTTGAACAGAGATGATGTGTTTTTAAACATCAACAGCAGAATTGTGTCCCCCAAGTACAGAGATTTTCCATATGTACATTTTAATTTCCTCCCTATTTTAATATGATTAAAATTTTCCCCAGTTTCTGACTTGTGTGTATACACACCCCACCCCTAAAATAGTAGTGTGCCTATTCTAGAATAAAATCATTAATTCAGGAGCATTAAAAAGGCATTGAGATCCATCCACGGACATTTTTCCAGAACTTTAAAACAGCAGTCCCCTCTGCATAAAGATTTTAAGGGACACTACCAGTCCCTACAGAGGTCAAGGAGAACTGGATCTGCTTCCTCTCGGCCCTCTTGAGAGAGAAATTAGCTGTAGCTGCTGCTGGTTATTAATATCCCTGTCTTCTGAGCAGAGGGTGCTAAGGAGAAGCCCTAAAGGGTAAAAGAAAAAAATAAAAAGCAAATTCATTTTGGGATGGGGAATGCTAAAGGGAAGAACAGGGAAAGGATGTTTTCCCCAGGAGGTAATTTATCTTGAAATCAGTCAACTTAAAACTCTGAGTGGCCTCTACAAAAATATTAACCCCTAGAAAACCTCAATGTGTGCCACCCACAGGCTCCCCTCTATTTCTAAAAATAGGTCCACAGGCATCCATGGCGGATAGGGATTCCCATTTAGGCGGCAAGAAGAGATCTGAGAGCCACAATAATCTTCTTGGCCAAGGGCAGAGGATCAGGGAACTGCAAGCCCTTCCCTGGCCAGTAACCCGTGGCTTCTCCCAGAAAACTAGCATGTCATAAGACTGTACCCCACCAGGATGAGCAAGGCAATATGCAAAAAAGAAGAACTGGAATTGTAAAGTAGCCACCTATGGGGTAGTTTGGAGACTTGCTTTGGAGGCTGAGGATCTGGATTTGAATTCTTTGTGTTAGCAGCTGTGAGAAACTGATCAAGTTAATTTTGGGGCTTGGTGTCCTTGGCCATGGAGGTTGGGATATCCCCACTGGGTTGCTGGAAACTTAAAATAGAGGGTGTATGTGAAAGTGTGTTAAGCACTGGACAGCGTGGTGCTCGTGAGTGGACAAGAGGGGAGGATTGCTGTTGTGATCAGTAGATGGATGCTGACTGACAGCATCTCTCTTTTCCAAGTGGAAGTTCTTGGTCAGCCTCTGCTTTGCAGGTTAAAACATAGACTTGACTCATTTACCCTGAGTCGGTCTTGTCGCAGCAGTGGATATGAACCACACTAAAAGAGGCCGGTGGATGAGGACAGGACATGTGTATTCATTCAGTGTGAAGAGCAACCTTCTGGTTTGAGAATACTCCCCCATCCCTTCTCCTTGGCTGTCTTTCCTATTACGGAGATGGCTCTGGGCCTACATTAGTAACAGATGGCTTTCGTGAGTGGGGACCAAAGGGATCGGGTGGTCTTGTAAGCTATTTCAGCCAGTCTGTGGGAAGCTGAAGGATTGCCCCCAGCCTAATATCAGAGGTCACCTTCCCAGAGATAGGAGGACCTGTTTGTCAAACCCCAAGTCTCAGATACTTAGGACAGTATTGAGCCAACAGTGACAAACTGACTCTTGCAATTCCTGCTAGACTGTGAGGGCAGGGACTGGGTCTGTTTTGTTCACCACTGCATTTCCAGTGCCCAGCACGGTGCTTGACACCAAGTAGGTGCTCAATAAACTGCTGTGGGATGAGAGAAGGAATGAAAAACTCTTGTTTTTAAAGTCTCCACATGGAACTTTTAACTGTATAATTTTATCTTACTTTATTTAGACTGCAGATGACTTTTTGAGACATCCCTAATCAGAGCATGAGCACACTCATAAACTCTCAGGTAGTTACTGTGGGAAGAACTTGAAATATACACCTTGTGTGTGTTATTGCTTACCCTCAGTTTCCAAGGGCTACAGTCTGTGAACTGATCCTCAAATCAGGGTAAGGCCTACATCCTGGCTATTTCCAGGATGCAAAGTATATGGAAACTAATTCCAGGGAGCCATCCTCAAAGTGCCATAAGGTTCTGCAACCCAGTCAGACAACAGATGCCTGAAAAGGCCAACAGGCAATAGTGAGTAAAAAGACAGACCCTTGGGGGCACCTGGGTGGCCCAGTTGGTCAAGCATTGGCCTCTTAATCTCAGCTCAGGCCTTGATCTCAGGGTCGTGAGTTCAAGCCCTGCATGGAGCCTACTTTTAAAAAGGGGGGGAGGGGGGTGCTGGATCAAGAATGTGAAACATAAACCAAGACTAAGTAGTCACCCTGCACTCTTCCACCCAAAAGAGATGTTTGGAAAGGTAGTAGCAGTCCACCTTTTGTACTGTGAGGTAAGGGTGGAGGTTTAGAATAATCATAGATTTTCATTGCTACTCTCTGAGAATGTCCCTGACTTTCTTCCTTGTATACTCAATCACCAAAGCAAACAGGC